TCTCTATCATCTCTATTTCTATCACCTCTATCTCTATCATCTCTATTCTATCATCTCTATTTCTGCTATCTCTATCATCTCTTTCTCTATGATCTCTATTTCTATCATCGCTATCTCTATCATCTCTATTTCTATCATCTCTATTTCTATCACCTCTATCTATATTTGTATCATCTCTATCATCTCTTTCTCTATCATCTCTATCTCTACCATCTCTATCTCTACCATCTCTTTCTCTATCATCTCTATCTCTATCATCTCTATCTCCATCATCTCTATTTATATCATCTTATTTTAATGGGGGGGAGGGGTGATTGTGAACATTGTACTAGTACAGAGGTTGAGTACTTGTAGTTGTACTGCAGTACTCACAGTTTTGTAGAACTCCAGAGTTTCTTGTGTAGGGTTGAAATCGGCTCTGAACTCCTCCACCAGAACAGGAAGTGAGCGGATCTGATCCGACAGCGCTGTAGCAACCTGACACACATTAACCTGCTCTTACTGTACATCTACACAACAACAGTCGCATTGTTACTGTACATCTACACAACAACAGTCGCATTGTTACTGTACATCTACACAACAACAGTCACACTGTTACTGTACATCTACACCACAACAGTCACACTGTTACTCTACATCTACACAACAAGTCACACTGTTACTGTACATCTATACAACAACAGTCACATTGTTACTGTACATCTACACAACAACAGTCACATTGTTACTGTACATCTACACAACAGTCACATTGTTACTGTACATCTACACCACAACAGTCACATTGTTACTGTACATCTACACCACAACAGTCACATTGTTACTCTACATCTACACAAGTCACATTGTTACTGTACATCTATACATCAGCCACACTGTTACTGTACATCTACACAACAACAGTCACATTGTTACTGTACATCTACACAACAGTCACATTGTTACTGTACATCTACACAACAACAGTCACATTGTTACTGTACATCTACACCACAACAGTCACATTGTTACTGTACATCTACACAACAGTCACATTGTTACTGTACATCTACACATCAGCCACAGTTACTGTACATCTACACAACAACAGTCACACTAGAGACACCCTGTTGTATACCCACGTAACATACACAGAATCTATATCATGACTACACCGGCAGCACAAAATGAGCCTAGATTGACTGAATTGTTCAATATAATCCGTTTCCTTTTAGATTTGTATTTTAGATTTGTAAGTACTCGTCCCACTTTACAGCACTTACCTTACCCGACCTTATCTTTACAGTGATACTGGGAGATCTGGGAGAAGATCTGGTTGATGCATCGTCCATAATGATGTAAATCATGAATTAAAGTAAATTCTCAGGTGCATTCTTACTCAACTCGTAAATCTTCAGCTTCCTAAATGTATCCCCAGTGGTGTAACGAAGTAGAAATACTTCGTTACTGTACTTAAGTCGTTTTTTTGGATATCTGTACTTTACTTTACTACTTATATTTCTGTTGACTTTTACTTTTACTTCTCTACATTTTGCAAAGAAAACTGATACTTTGACTCCGATACATTTCCCCTGAAACCTTCGTTACTCGCTACAACATCAAATCTATCTTTAGAAACAAATGAATCATGAGACCAACGTCGGGGACTGTGGTGGAACAGAGACTGCGAGCAAGCAGGTTTGGTGAATCAGTGGTCCTAGTGTCGCGGTGCACAGAATGACGTCACACAGGCTCAATCTGATGCTACACATTTAATGAAAATGGTTCTGTAAAATACAAAGATATAATATATACGTTTAGGTATGCAGTTGCTTCTCAGCACTTTCTTCTTCTATCCTGTTCAGAGATTCTCATATTCTCGCGTATACACGCGAGACTTCCCTCTGGCTCTCTGTCAGACACTGCTGATGTCGCAACACTGCCACCTACTGGCGATCCACTGGATCTACTGCCTACAAATGTATCTGCCGATAAATAACACTGTACCCCACATTTTAACTAAAATGAACACTTCCTCCTCATTAACACATAGGAAACATAATAAACTCACTTAACTTACACTACACCCAAGCAACTATTGTACTTCCTGAACTCAAATGACTTATTGTGCCACACTAGCTTGCAAGTTAAATCATTGGTTAATCACGTTAATGCGCAATTGCAAACAAGTGCTCTCAAAGCCGCGGTGTTTTGATTCCCAGTGATGCTATATGCTATAGCTAGCGGGACTACATGAGCAGAATTCCACTCTACGATGACTGATTTCATGACGGAAGCAGAAATGGAAGCACCTGCTGCTCCCGCAACAAACTACGGTGGTGACGAAGACCAACACCCGGGGATCGCTAGCGAGTTAGTGAGCTGAGGAAGTGTTGACAGTTGTGAGATGTTGTTGATTTGAGTCATCTTAGCTATAATCATTGCAGCACTAGTTGGCTAACGTTAGCTAACTTAACGTTAGCTAGCCACCACACCATAGGATTGACAGGAGCCGCGAGAGCGCAGCATTAGGGTTAGCATCAGGGTTAGCATTAGGGTTAGCATTAGGGTTAGCATTATGGGAAATCCTTCCCAGCTGAGCGAAGCTGTGTGTGAAGCTGAACACACCTCTACCTGCCTCAGCGGCCTGTGAAAGGCTGTTTAGCATCAGGACTAGTCTTCAGCCCAAGAAGAGCGAGACGGAATTCTCGCAATTTTGAAAACCAACTTCTTTTGAAGATGAACAGGACGTTGTTCAGGTTCAAGTAATGACTGGGTTGTTACTTTCGGTGCTGCTTTAGTATTGATCATGTTTTGATATTTGAGTCATTTTGTGGATGATCAGATGGAGTTATGATGGTAGCAGTCGCCCAATTGCAGATTCAGCTTGAGCAAAACCTTTGCCTGTTGTGTTCATATCAGGCCCATAGGAGTTTACAAGGCAGGTGTCCTTTCTCACAACACTGACCTGATGCATCAAGTGGATATTTGTTGCTGAACACAATATGATGCCTTTGCCCTCTACATCCTCTAGTTGGAATGAGCATACTTATAAACGCACTGTTACAACTCCTTCATAGCGTCATATTGCTTTTCGGAGAATTCTGATGATAAGTTCATAGTAGATGCAAAAGTATACTTATGTACAATATATTATGTTGAACATTGTTGCTCCTGGATGGATCACAGCCAACCCAATTATGTTCAACACAGCTCCATGTCCTTGGTCATGGTGCCACAGCACTTAAAAGAATAAACTTCATAATTCTCATAATTCTGACCCTTTGCTTTTTTATTAACAGCATTTACTTTTACTTTTACTTTCAATACTTAAGTACATTTAATATCAGAAAATTACTTTTGATACTTAAGTACAATAAATATCAGATACTTTAAGACTTTTACTCAAGTAGTATTCTAATAGGTGACTTTTACTGGAGTCATTTTCCAGTAAGGTATCTTTACTTTTACTCAAGTATGGCTTTTGGGTACTTTCTGTCACGGCTCCGCTGTGACCTCAGCTTGTCTCCCCTCTGTTGTCTGTCTGTGTGTGTGTGTGTGTGTGTGTGTGTGTGTGGCTTGAGCACGGCTGCAATCATCCGGCACCTGGGCTCATCTCCTCACCTGACAACAATTAGACCTTCATCACCTTCAGTTCAAATACCCTGGCTTCCTGCAGTCTAATCACCAGATTGTTCCTTCAGTTCAGGGGTAGCTACAACCTCGGCCCTTTTTGAGTTGTAGTCTCTTCTTAGAGCAAGTTAGCTTTCTGATGTAAAACTAACTTGTGTTTCCCCTCTGCCTCAGCGATTCCCGTGCCACGTCGCCCGCCAGCCGCCGCCGCACACACCGCCTCGCTGCTCCACCTGCATGATGAAACCGGCTCCACAGACGAGCCAAAATAAAACCCTTTTTTCTCACCTACTCTGCTGTCCCGGTGTCTGCGTTTGGGTCCAGAATAAACTGACCGTAACACTTTATACACCACTGTGTATCCCTTGCAGAGGTCAATTTTCATTAAGATTTAGGGGTAACAAAAATCTGATCCTCTATAAAATGTTACAAAAGATGCTCAAAAACCCATTTAAGTGCTTTTTCTAAATACATTTAAAGTGTGTGTCGGCTGTGGAGTGTAAACCTTCAGCAGGAGGATTTCTTCACCTTGGCAGAGACATCTTCGGTCAGAGTCTTGATCCTCTCTTTGACGTTGTCGGTCAGACGGTTAATCTGTTCTCTGACGAAATCAAGCCGGTCCCTCTGATCCTCGCGCTCCTCCAGGCAGCATATCCTGTCAGAGGTTAAAGGTGAAAGTTGGAGAGACTAGAAAAAAAAGACTTTTTGTCAATGAATGGGCTCATTTTGAGTGAGTTTTCCTGACTTCCTGTCAGCGGAGGCGATGTTGATGGCGTCCATCACAGCTTTGATGGCCTCAGTGATCTGCCGCGCTCTCACTGTGTGCTGCTCAAACTTGGTCTTCACTGCAGACTGAGAGATGAACTCCTGCCGGGTCAAAGGTAATCTACAGTCACACTTCCTGGTTCACTTCAATTATCTTTTAGGACACGATTCAAAAGGATCTTTGTACCTCAAACGTCCTCTCAAACATCTGGAACTCTCTCAGTCTCTCATGGAAACCTTCAGCCAGAGCGCCACCTGCAGGATGACACGGGTCTGATGTTTAATTCAATTCAATTCAATTTATTTTGTATAGCCCAAAATCACAAATTTGCCTCGGTGGGCTTTAGTTACTGTAAATATAAAACTGTCGACTCGAATGCAAAAAACATCACAATCCATAAATCAGTTAGTCAATAAAACATCAGAAAACAGTAAAATTGTCCATCTGAGTCTGTCCAAAGTATATTATAATGCATTTCTGCTAATAAATCCCCCTAAATGCTACACACTGGTCCTTTAAAACAATAATTTACGAGATTTATTGTGAATATTTTTAGGAAATCAAATGTTCATCTTATCATTTTCCTCTTCTACATATTGAGTCATGTTTAAATATTGCACACTTTCCTTTACACGCTCATTAGATATTGTTTTTATTATCAGGACACTTTGAGGTATCAGGTACAGACATCAGTCGTCTCTGCTGTGTCCTCCTGCTGACCCTCACCCGTCTCACCTGTCTCACCCGTCTCACCTGTCTCACCTGTCTCAGGCATGCCCTGCGCTCGCTGCATCCTGGAGCTCAGGACCTCTTTGGCCGAGACGAAGAAGATCCTCCCTGGAGCCTCGTCCAGGCCGACCACCTTCAGCTCCTCGGCCAGGAAACTCACACAGCGGTCCAGGTGCTGCTTCCTCACCTGGACAGCAGGGAGAGGACACAGTGGGTACATCCTAGTTCCCTTAGCTGGGTAAATCCTAGTTCCCTTAGCTGGGTACATCCTAGTTCCCTGAGCTGGGTAAATCCTAGTTCCCTTAGCTGGGTACACCCTAGATCCCTTAGCTGGGTAAATCCCAGTTCCCTTAGCTGGGTACATCCTAGATCCCTTAGCTGGGTAAATCCCAGTTCCCTTAGCTGGGTAAATCCTAGTACCCTTAGCTGGGTACATCCTAGTTCCCTAAGCCGAGTACACACTAGTTCCCTTGGCTGGGTACATCCTAGTTCCCTTAGCTGGGTACACCCTAGTTCCCTTAGCTGGGTACATCCTAGTTCCCTTAGCTGTGTACATCCTAGTTCCCTTACCTCCTCGATGTATTCCGGTTCACTCACTGAAGCGTCCCATCTGTTGTGGAGGATGAAGATATTCGGTTTGGAGATTCTCTCGCTGACTTTGTGGAAGAAAAGTTTCTCCTGCAGACAGAACACACACACATATATATTTATATACATATATTTATATATACATATAGTATTTTATATATATAAATATATTATCAATGTGTGGTTCCCTCACCGTGTTCATGAGCGTCGACTCAGCGTTTCCCACCAGAACAAAGACGTCGGCGTCCAGACAGAACTTATCGATCCAGCTGTCTAACTCCAGAGTGACATCGGTGCCGGGGCTGGGTTAGAGGTCAGACATGGTAATTATTTAATTCATGTTTTTATTTGTATTATCAGTTGGAGTCTTCCTCCGTTTGTGCACGAAGAGCTGAAAGTTCTTCTTCACTGAACGGATGTTTTCCTGGATGAATTCTGATCGATCAATCAAATAGAAGGCGTCCTCTGATTGAGACCAGAGCAAACGATCAATGTTCAATACCCATGAACCACTACCTGATCCTCTACATGATCCTCTACATGATCCTCTACGTCAGGGGTTCTTAACCTTTTTGACCTCGGGGCCCAACTTTTCAAGTACAAAGTGACCCGGGGCCCATTCAAATATTAACACTGTATTAGTTTAACTAATTGATCTCACTCTTGGTTTGATTTGTATTCAATAACTATATTAAATCCACTTACAGTTTAACAAGCAAAACCCTTGTCAAATAAATGAGATGATGTGATGATCACAAAGACATTTATTTATCATGTGTATGTAAACCTGCATACACAACAAGAAGCCAACAGGCTTTCCCACGAGCGTTGGATGTTTCATCGCTAGGTGTCGCTTTATTTTTGAAGGCTTCAAATAAAACCAAATAAAATGTGTCTGGAGCCGCAAAAGCTATTTGATATCACAGCTTATAAAGTGTTATATATAGTTATATTATATATACAAAAACTATAGTTTGTTGTATTTATGAAAATATAGAACAAGAATAAAGACAATTCTTGACATTTTATTGCAATTTTACCTGATATAACAATATCAAACTCTTATGAAGAGGAGAGTTTGCTGCAGCAGCTGAGGAATCATCTCCAGCGTGACACTGTTCAGCACATGCTGTGTGCTTGTTGTGGGAGCATACAGTAAGCCAGCATCGTTGGCAGTGAAAGCAAATGAAGACGTCCACGCAGAGTCAAACTCTCTATTTTCCTCCGTGACTTTTCTTTTTTTGGATTTATCCATTGATAGTTTACAGAGGGCGGGAGCCGTTCGCGTTCACGGGGGAAAAGCGCTTGACAGGGGCTGAGGATTTGACTGCCTGTGGGAATAATTAACATATAAGATACAAGTTACAAAACAGCCCAAAACAACTGCAGTCTCATTCATGTCTTGGGTCTACAAAACACGCACTACGGGCTTCATATCTGGTCACAGAATAGCAAGAAAGGGGCTACCGCACACAATCGCCGAAGACGTGTGCTCGCCAGCTGCCAAAGAGATGGTGGAATGTATGATTGGAGAGAGTAACTTTATTGTAATTCGATTCAGATTAATGTAACCGCTATGTATGGTTAATTGTAAATTAAATGTGATGCAATCTGCCTCTGAGCCTGTGCGTGTGTCCTCGCCATCCGTATTGCTCTTTAAAAGTGACGCCTTGTGTAACTGAAATGTATTGAAACTTTGTTGCAGTGTTTCAGGGCGTTTTCACACCCGTAGTTCGTTTGCTTTGTTCCGATTCAGGGATTAATATGATACAATGTTGCAGTTGCCCCTTTGTTCGGTTTGTGTTCACACTGCAACATTTAACAGTGGACTAAATCTTGTAAACAAACGCCACGCGAGAGCAAACTGTTCTCTCATTGGTCCGATTGTTATGCAGCTATAAATAGGCTCTGTTGATTTTTTTTTTTTTTAAGGTGTGGGGGATTGGGGGTGCGTGAACCTGGTTGGGATGTAGAAGGGGGTGCGTGGCCTAAAAAGTTTGGGAACCGCTGCTCTACATGATCCTCCACATTATCCTCCACATGATCCTCCACATGATCCTCTACATGATCCTCTACATGATCCTCTACATGATCCTCCACATGATCCTCTACATGATCCTCTACATGATCCTCCACATGATCCTCCACATGATCCTCCACATGATCCTCCACATGATCCTCTACATGATCCTCCACATGATCCTCCACATGATCCTCTACATGATCCTCTACATGATCCTCTACATGATCCTCCACATGATCCTCCACATGATCCTCTACATGATCCTCTACATGATCCTCTACAGCAGGGGTGTCAAACTCATTTTCACTCCGGGCCACATCAGCATCATGTTTCCCTCAAAGGGCCGGTTGTAACTGTAAGACTGTATAACTGTAACTACTCCTAACATATTGTTAAATAACTCTCTGCTTTTGATTATTGTTTATTCAAGTGTAAAAATATTGTACATGCAGTTATATAAATGTAAAATGATATTTAAGCACATTTCTGTTATTATAAATAAATAATAAATAATTTTAATTTAAGGTTAAGAAACCCACATTACTCTATCAAAGATCAAACTATTAAAGAAAATAACAAAGACAAATATCAAACACAAGTTATTACATTAACTTTGTTCAAAGCTATTGTTGTCACCTCTCTGCATCACTAATGTCCCTGCTGTCGTCCCGTGCATGGCAGCTACAAGAGCTCCTCACAGAGTCAGGTCTGCCTTCAGCCTCTTACAAACACTGATAGATGATGTATCTCGTCTCTCAGCTAGCTGTGTTGTTAGATTGCTGCTAGTTCCTGAACTCGGTCTGCGATGGTGTTTCTTCACAAACTGACATTTGTAAAAGTCTGTATCTGGTCGGAGCTCACCTGCTCACATACCTTTAGCGTGCACTGGGCTGTAGCTTCTGTAAATATATTCTGCTGTGATTGCACTCTGCCTTTTAATTCTTGGACAATTTGATGTTTTTCTTGGAGGCTAAATTTAGCTCCGTGTTTGGTGTCAAAATGCCGACGTGAATAGTATCCTTCATCACCGACACGCATCATAACACAGAAGACAGACCCGTTTTTCTCCCTGAAGCTCACACATGTATTCTCTTTCCCATCTTAAATTACATCTTCTTCCCTCTGCATCAATTTTTCTCTTCGTGGACATTTTGGGATTATTTGTCGATCTTTTTCAACTCAATCACTTGATGGAAAACCTCTTTACGGGCTGTTCCCTCTCCTGTCCACCTGTTGTGATAGTTTTAATGTTGGTACACAGACAACATGCTATCTCATAATTTCAACTTTCTATCTCATAATTTCGACCATGGGGATACTTTTATTTTCAAATCTAACTATTTTTTTTCCAAAATAAAAAATATATGTTTTTTTTTTGCTGGTGGATTCGCGGGCCACATAAAATGACGTGGCGGGCCGGATTCGGCCCGCGGGCCTTGAGTTTGACACCTGTGCTCTACATGATCCTCTACGTGATCCTCTACGTGATCCTCCACATGATCCTCTACATGATCCTCTACAATGTAGAGTCTACATCAGCGGTCTCAAACTCATTTTCACTCCGGGCCACATCAGCATCATGGTCGCCCACAAAGGGCCGGTTGTAAATGTAACTACTCCTAACATATTGTTAAATAACTGTCTCTGCATTTGATTATTGTTTATTCAAGTGTAAAAATATTGTACATGCAGTTATATAAATGTAAAAATATATTTAAGCACATTTCTGTTATAAATTAAATCCTTTTAATTTAGGGTTAAGAAACCCACATTACTCTATCAAAGATCAAACTATTAAAGAAAATATCAAACACAAGTTATTACAATAACTTTGTTCAAAGCTTAAAATCCTTTCAAGGAGCGTTTGCACAATCCCACGTGAAGTATTTCTTGTGTTTTAAAGCCACATTTAAAGTAGTCTTCAATGTACTCACAATACATTTCATGTCAAGTGTACAGTAACCAGCCAAAGAGCTGCTTCTATGACTGTGTGTTTAAGTATCTCATCATTATGACTTTCTATCATAGTTATGACTTTCTATCTCATAATTTCAACTATGGGGATATTTTTATTATCAAGTCTAACTTTTATTTATTTATTTTTTTTTGCTGGCGGATTCGTGGGCCACATAAAATGACGTGGCGGGCCGGGAGTTTGAGACCCCTGGTCTACATGATCCTCTACCTGTCCATCAGCACCAGGTCGTCTCTCAGCAGAGCACAGCAGCTTTTAGGCCACATCACCTTCACCAGACTGCCAGAGTCCAGAGTGGGATCCATGTGGAGGGCATGAGCCAGCTGGTTCACCGTCTGAGGAGGAGGAGGAGGAGGAGGTGGAGGAAGAGGAAGAGGAGTAGGAGTAGGAGGTAGAAGAGGAGGTCGAAGAGCAGGAGGACCAGTAGGAGAATGAGGAGGAAGTTATCACAGAGCCATCTGATTGGTTGACAGAATAATGATGCCAGTTTAAGGGACAGTACCACATGTTTGTAAACATGTGGTACTGTCCCTTTAAGGAGTGGTGGTCGTACGGTGACGCTCCTCCTGTCATTGGACGCCTCCGTGGTGAGGTACGCCTCGTCTCCATCGGTTCCCTCCACCCTCAAGAAACAGTTGGTGGTGTGACCGATGCCGCTGGGCAACACGCGCTCCCTCAGCATGGCGTTGATCACCGTACTCTTACCGTTACTGGTCCTGAAGCACAGACACACATCATCATCGTCATCATCATTACATCTTCTACATCATCCTCATCATTATTATCATCGTCATCGTCGTCAGCATCATCATCAGCTTATTATATTATGTTGTATTATGTTTCATTATGTTGTATTATGTTGTATTATGTTTCAATATGTTTCATTATGTTTCATTGTTTCATTATGTTTCATTATGTTATATTATGTTTCATTATGTTATATTATGTTGTATTATGTTTCATTATGTTTCATTATGTTGTATTATGTTTCAATATGTTTCATTGTTTCATTATGTTATATTATGTTTCATTATGTTTCAATATGTTTCATTATGTTTCATTATGTTGTATTATGTTTCATTATGTTGTATTATGTTATATTATGTTTCATTATGTTATATTATGTTTCATTATGTTGTATTATGTTATATTATGTTGTATTATGTTATGTTATGTTTCATTAAGTTTCAATATGTTTCATTATGTTGTATTATGTTGTATTATGTTATATTATGTTTCATTATGTTTCAATATGTTGTATTATGTTTCATTATGTTGTATTATGTTATATTATGTTATATTATGTTATATTATGTTATATTATGTTTCATTATGTTTCATTATGTTATATTATGTTGTATTATGTTTCAATATGTTTCATTATGTTTCATTATGTTTCATTATGTTTCATTATGTTGTATTATGTTGTATTATGTTGTATTATGTTATATTATGTTTCATTATGTTGTATTATGTTGTATTATGTTATATTATGTTTCATTATGTTGTATTATGTTATATTATGTTGTATTATGTTTCATTATGTTGTATTATGTTATATTATGTTGTATTATGTTTCATTATGTTGTATTATGTTATATTATGTTTCATTATG